ATTCGCTGTTCGCAGTCTTGATGAGGCTGCCCATCTACTCTATTCCGAATTAATGGCTGTGAATCCTTTCCGTACTATGTACTGAGGCCTCCGACATATGTCCTGCCGTGCATCAGCAAATCAGCATTCTATACTCCCCCACTCCTAGCACGCTATCTGAAGTGGAAAGAAATGAAAATGCAGGTTAGCTGTCTACATGATAGATGTGGATATTATGTAAACCTGTATATTTTTAAGTATTTTGTTAATTTGTTCCTTGGTATCACAGTGAATGTGGAATGTCACCTTAAAAACGTATTTTTTCTCTCTCTCTGATTATCTAACATGCACGTCAAATGGGCAAACGCAAAACAAGTTTTCCTTTTTAATACGCGACTGGTGATAAGAAGGGGTTTTACATGTGGGGAAAGAGGCAGCATGGAATCTGGGAAAGAAAGACTAAAAAGCGAAACGTTGCCCAAAACGTTGTTTAAATACTCCCAAAACGTCTAATGAGCTGCCATCCTAGCCTCATTTGTAAAAGAAACTCTCCTGATTCCTCATGTAGTGTACCTATGAAAACTTAACTTGTTTTCAGTAGTTTAACCAGCTAAACGAATGTAAAACTCCCGAATGGATGTTACTTAGACTAAACAAGTAAAGCATACGAATTACATTTATTCAAGTTATTTTATGGTACAGTTCAACTGACACTGATGCGAATTTTCGCAAGAGCTGAATATCGTTCTACGATTTCAAGTGATAAGTATGAATTTTAGCCAGTTTAATTTAGTATAATCGAGCGTTTTACATAGGAACGATACAGGCCATACTGCGTTATTAGCACTTCCTTGAAAACCAGTCTCAGTAGGTAAACTGTTCGATGCGTGGGGATCCTGCACTACCTACACATACACGGCAAATGTCAGTAGTGCCTATTAAAATACTTCGTCTTCGGGGTTGGTTATTCAATGGTTGTTGCAGATATCTTTCAACAGGTGTGGAGCCTTGGATATAAATTACTACTCTCAATCTAATTGGGACATTTTACGTGTCGCAGTTACCATCTAGCGTCCACATCCTTTACCTTAAATGATGGAGCCACGAAAGCACCAAATCTGCGTTATTTTAAAGGTTGGCATTAGACGCATCACCATGTAGTGTCCCCAA